AGTCAGCTGGACACACAGAAAATTCTTGCTTTGTTTGTGAAATTCCTTGTGGTATTGGAGATGCAGGGATTATCTTCTTGAACTTCCAAAAAAAAAAAAAACCCCATAAACAACCCTACAAACTCATCCTCGGGGAACTGAAAAGCTACAGAGTGGTTTTAAGGATAATTATGGCTATTCTTATAGAAAAATAGCCCCAAAGAAATTCACCTTCCAAATAGAATAAGATTTACTCCTCTGAGCGAATCTCTGGTTTATGGTGAAAAGTTGGAATGCAAAAGCCAAGCCAGGATGCTCAGRGAAGCTGCTGAGTGAAGAAATGTTTCCTTTTTAAATTAAATCTCTGCAGGCCACACGGCGGATGGGCTGGGGGTTTGTTCAAACCCTTCACCCCCCATTTTTTTGGGTTTAGATTTTCTGGAAATTCCCAGGAATTGCTGAGGCTGGTGCTGTGTGGGCGCCCATGGACTGAAGGTGGCAGCTCCGAGCTGCGGTGGAGAGTTTGGSTCTAAAATTCCCGAAAACGCTCATTTCTGCCCGAATCCATCGCATCCCTCACTCCATCTCCCTTTAAAAGCATCACTTGTGCCTCGACAAAGCTGTTTCCCCATGGATCTGCTTCCAAAAGCTGCGAGCAGCAGAATCTTTCTCTGTTACAGAGCTCCACAAATCCCGGACACTTACGGGACGGAATTCAAACTGTTCTCAAGCCCTGGTAATTCCAGAATAAATCCACTCTACTCCAGAAGGGCTGCTCTGAGCTCTTCTAACTCTGCCCCACTCAGCTGAGCTACTGCTCCATGAGAATCCTGGAATTYCRGAATGGTTTGGGTTGGGAGGGACCTTAAAYCCCATCCAGTGCCACCCCTGCCATGGGCAGGGACAATTTCACTGTCCCAGGGTGCTCCAAAYCCTGTCCAAAGTGGTTTTGGACCTTCCAGGGATGGGGAAAGCTGTGCCAGGGCCCCCCAGCACTCCAAGGCATGGAGATGGAGGGGCATCCATGCAGATTTTGGGAATACCAGCAGCTCCTGATGTGCACAGACTCACACAGTCTCTGTGTGAATCCTCCACTCCCAGCTCTCCTTTTAAACTTTGTTTAAGCTCAGCCACTACCAAAATTCAATTTTTATTTAAGGCAGGTAACTCGACAGGTTTTTCTTGCCTATTTTTTATTTTTTTTTTTTTATCCACGGCTCCAAGCACCTCTGATGACTATTAAGAAAAGAAAAAAAAAACCCAAACCACAGCAGTAAAGTTCCTGGAAAGGCCCTCAAACCCGAATTTCAGAGCTATTCAGCACCTTCAGCTGTCCTTGAGATGAATACCTCATCCTCAAGGATGGAACAGAATTTCCCTGGACACAGAGGACACGGGGATTCTTCCCTACAGACACAACAGGTTCGGCTGCCAGGGTAAAAAAAAAAAAAAATCCCCGCCGTGAAACACACGCACCCCATTTCCAGATGTGCTCCAGCTGTGAGTTTTTATTTGGGCTCTAAAAATAAATTGATATTGTTTTTGGAAATAGCAGGGATACATTTATGAAACACTCTCTCTCGCTGAATGTTTATGGATTCCATGTCCACCTCCGAATTTCCTACTGCTAAATCTCCAGAAAGAATAAAGACATTTTCGAATAATGAACCTTTATTAGGATTAACCGAGGGAGAAAGAAAAATCTCCCTTTAAACCACAGTTTTTCCAGACTTCTGAAGTCTTTGCTTTGTGTTTTTTTCCCCCCAAAAATCCCAGATAAGCCCAGAAAACAACAAGTTTCTATACAGAGAATTAAACATGGATTTCCAGCAACAAGGAATTTACTCTCAGAAGCTGCCACTCTTTGGCTACTCCTGTTGATCATCTGGCAAACTGCAATGTCCAAACCTGCCAATATCCCAAAATTCCTGCTATTCCATGGGATTTCCATGAGTGCTTTTGTCCAGCTTAGAGCAGGAACCCCCTCCTCATCCCTGCTGATGCCAAGTGGTTTTCTCTTCCTGCCTGTCCTCMCCAGCTCCTAAAAAACATCTTTTTTGTGCATTCCTGTGCCTGGCATAGGGAATACCTGGTTCAGGGGATACCTGGCACAGTGGGCACCAGGATCCATAATTCCAAGAGCAGCTCCAGCCCTTCAAAGGCAGCTCTCGCACTCCCAAAACAGGAACGACCCAACCTCCTCC